CGCCTGGGCCTAAGATACTCAGCATGTCGTGCATCCGAGGCGTACACATCCACTGCGCTCACCTTTGCAAAGTTGTACGGCTCCTCTCGCCACGAATCCCGACTCGAAAAGGCTCCTTTCCGTCGACTTCCGTATTCGACATACGTGATGCAGATCCGTCGGCCACTGACCAGTTGCTGGTCCATGCCGGCTCTGGCGAGTTTTGCTGGTGAAATTAAATGTCAGAGCCCGGATAGCAAAGATATGGTACTGATATCATACCTGCATTCTCATTGACGAAGGTTATGGTGCAGGACGCGGTACTCTCATCCAGTATCCTTTCCACGCGTTGCCTATCAAACAGCTGGAGCTTGCTAGTAGAGGAAAGCAGCTTCAGCTTACTCAATGATGGTACCAAACTGCATTGGTTACGTTGTTTGTCAAACCAGACATTTGACGAGTTTTTTTTCAGGTCCTCACCTTGTTGAAGAGACCGTGTATATCATTTGCCTCGAGACCGCTGTCAAGGTTCTAACCAGAGTTACCATCATAAGATGCTGAAGTGTCACGCACTTGAACATACCGTGATCAATATCGTGCAAGGGTCATAGCTCTTCAGCGAGACGATGCCAGACAGCTGGAACCGCTCGCGCAGCGCAGCCGTCACCCCAGGAGCAGCAGCATCTGCATGGTCAAGGCTCCAATACCGGACCACACAGACCGGGGCATCGCGCCCAATGTCCACGTCCAGACGCAGAGACACCAGAGGACCGGCGCGGCGGAAGATAGAGAAGAGAGAGAAAATGTTCGTCTCGGCGAGTGCTTGTAGCTTCACGCCGACGACGTATTGCGGCAGCGCCCAGGACGCGGACGACGCGTCGCTCTCGCTGGGATGGGCGGAATGGAAAAGGGTGAGGGGACAGGGCAACGCCAGGGGAAGGTCTTTGATGGACGTTCCGCGCAGCGTCGCGAATGCCAGCTCGGCTGCACGGACGGGGATGCGGTCAATGACGTGACTATGGCTCGCCGAAAACGCCAGGCGTACCGTGAGCGATGTCTTGGAAGCACACGGCCCATGTCCGACAGCGGTTTTTCTTGCTTGTTCCCTTCGTTGTTGTCACCTCGAGCTGCGAAACAGGTCCGCAGGCCTTGAACGTGGTGACGAGGTTGTCCCACTTTACGCGAAACGGGACGTCGCGGACGTACAGGACGTTGCTCGTCACGAGTGGGTGGGGGTAGCACAGAAGGTCGGCCATGGCGTCGACAGAGAGTCCCAAGCTGGTTTGTGTTCGACTCTGGTCACCGGCGCCCGAGGGGGGGTGAACGAGAAGGGCAAGCTCAATGCCATTTCCACCATAGCCTTTATTCTTGCTTACTTAGATATGACGAACCGCGGGCATGAGTTTGTCGCGCCCAGAAAATATGAATAACATACCAGCCGCTCAGCATGACGACTTGGAAGATGCCCAGGAAGGTCATCCACGACTCGGACGCCACACACTGGGCGGTAAGCGCGGTTTTTCATTTTCATTTTCATTTTATATTTTAGAAAACCTTGGCCAAAACTGCTCAAATAATGGATCAAAAGTTTTCGGTCGTACGCCGAGGCAAACTGAGGCAAAATCCGGCACAAAGCCGGCCAAAAGAGGGTAAAACCAGTAAAAATCGGAGTTTTGTCCCTGAATTTTCCCGGTGAAACCCGGAGAAGCTCAGATCTGTGGGCTTCTGGCTGATTCTGCAAGGGAAAACAGCCGCGCTTTACCTGGTTTGCACAGCCCTCAGGTCTCAGGGGGTGGACGTACACTGGCATGACCAAGGCACGAGAGAAATTTGGAACTTTTTTATCGCAAAAAAATGCCAAAACAGCTTGAAAAAAAATAAGAAAATGTTGTATTTTTCGCTCGGTATCCGGCAGTCCGGCAACTCGGCAATTCGGCAGCCGAGCCGATTATCGTCCGGGTACCGCCGTCCCCGGGCGCTTTGATAAATGGCCTGGCGGACAATCGGCTCGGCTGCCGGATACCGAGGGAAAAATACGACATTTACTTACTTATTTTTTCAAGCTGTTTTGGCATATTTTCTGTGACAAAAAAGTTCCAAATTTCTCTCGTGAGGGCAGTTCAACCAAGAAACCTGCAGGCGTGTGGACAGGCCGGTGCGTTCATAGCTTCCTGTGTACCATGCCATGCCACAAGTTCACGCCGAAAATACACTAATACATACATATATAACATGCATAAACGGCTGACATACAGCAGCGGAGCAAGGGCAGATGTGCCTCCGAAGCCCTCATATAGACACGTTCCCGGGCGGGCAGGCGGGGGGGGGGCAGCCGGGTGCTCCGGCTGACGAGCAGCCAGCCCAGCGCGCGTGCGCACGAGCGGGGAGGTGTAATCCGGGTTGCGCTGATTGTCATCGGCCACATTCACGCGCGAGAAGTCCATGTCGTGGAGCGCGACGAGCTTCGTCTGGTAGATGAGCTTGTAGCTGAAGGTGAGCAGCAGGAAGAAGGGCTGGGGACGGGTTAAGGCGACGTGAGCACGCGGGCAGGCTGGGTAGGAAACGTAGAGAAGAGGGAAGGGGAGGCTTACGAGGGCTTACGATGGGCACGCACAACGCGAGGAAGGGGCCGACGTGTCATGAATATTACGCATTTTGGATGGTTCTCCCGGATTCCATAGTATTCTTTTACTTTCTACACACCTCCGTATATTCGTAGGATATTCTAGGTATTGAGTCTGACATGTATATAAGGAGCTCGTACTGCTCAATAACAAGCCAGACTCGAGCTGGTCTTTACTCACTCATTTTCCTCTTGTCTGTCTCCTCAGCATGTCGTAGCTCAGTCCAGTTGGATTGTTAGTTGCTGACACGACGCGTCTGTGCACGCACTTGCGCGCGACAACGAGTCGCGGTGGGCCTAGCGCCCGTTGTACGATCCCGTCTGAAACGCCGCTTCAGCACTCGAAACCGCACTCCTTCAGTTACAGTACTCCAGGCTGTCCTTCAAAGTCTGAGTCGCCATCAAAGTCAGTCTACGGCCAGACTTTTGGAAACCCTGATGTGTGCGACATTTCCAGTCGCAACGGCCGCAAGTGTGATGAGACACGCCCCGCCTCGCCAAGCTCTCGCGCGCAGGAGCTTGCTGGACAGGCCTGCGATGTATATAAGCCTGCCCGACCGTCGTAGCCAAACCACACATTCCTCGCCTTCCTCGCCTCGACGACATCACAGCTCATCAGACCCCACGTTGCTCACACGGCCATGCACTTCATCATCTCATCCTTTGTCTTGGCTCTGGCTGCCACGACTGTTGTGTCGATGCCGTCCCCCGCGATCCACCCCGGATTCCAGGGACTCGCGAGCGGCCCGGGTCGTCGTGCCGGTGGGTCGCCCAAGCTGACCCGCCAGGCCGACAACAGCTCTCAACCCAGCTTCTCCCCAAACGTGGCTGGTGCCGTCTTAAATGCGACTGCAGTGAGTCTCCTCTTATGTCTCTGTGCGATCCGTGCGCTGACAGGCTTGACTTCCGCCGCATAGGGCGCAATCACAGGCGCCACCGGGTCGTTCGTGATTCCGAGTATCAGCGTACCTCAGGGCGAGGACCCAAGTGTCACCTACACCGCAGGTGTTGAGATCGGCATTGATTCGCAATTCTGCCCGACTGGCGGCATTTTGGGTGGTGTCCAGCTCACCCTCAGCGGTGGCTCACAGAACAATAGTGGTCAGTCTGCGCTCCTTGCGCTCCTCCTCGCATGCTGACAAAACACCTGTACTCTCGCAGCCTATGTTGGTTTTTTGCCTAATGAGAATCTCTTCGTCGAGGGCTTGAACTTTACGACGGGCGACAACATCACGATAAGCGTCTCCGCGCAGAACGCGACGTCGGCTACGGTGGTCTTCATCAACCAGAGCACGGGCCTGATCGTCACCGTGCCCGGCACTTCCGGCACTCTGTGCATGCAAGAAGCAGACTGGTTGGTACTGGACTTCCAGGGGCCGGAGATTCCACTGCCCTTTGTCAACTTTGGTGCGCTCAACTTCACTGGCGCGTCTGCCGAGACCCCCACAGGTTCTCTCGACATCTCTGGCGCGTTGATCTTCGACATAGAGCAGAACGGCACTGTTCTTACTTCCGTCTTGACTTCGCCCTCGACCGTCGATATCGCCTTCCTCTAATGCGGCAGAAAGGATGTAAGGATGTAGGTCCGATATTTATTTAACATTGCTTGTATGCTTGTATGTTCGGCATGTAGTCAGAAGGACCGATATTTATCGAACACTGTTTGTATCGCTGGATGAAACGCGGATGAGCTCTGTACACCTCTAACGACGAAGAGTGTTATACCGAGGACGTGTCTACTCGCAATACTCCGGAGACATTGTATGGCTGTCGATTGGAGTCATGAACACCGCCACAGAGAGGGCTGGTAAACAATGCGGATCAGCATACAGAGATGGCGTACAGGCCAATGACGCACCTCTCCCCTGTGGCCAGAGTGGTCCTGTATGCCACGTCCACGCATGATTAAAATATTGTTCCAGATCAGATGAAGTCGACATCGAATTGCTCGAAGGCCAAAAGCTTAGGTTATGGGGAGAATGGATGGTTGTCGCACGGAGAGTGGTACCAATTCGCTTTCGGATAATCAGAAGCGCCCAAGGATTGGATGACTTTCCAGCAGCATAGCTGAAGAGGGGTAATTTTCTAAGCATTGAATTATATACAGGCTTATTCCATATACCTTCAAGATGGGGGAAGCCCAGGGATTTTGCGACGCTCGTGGTTTTCGGGTGTGTAAACGCAAGATTGTTCGTGCCTTCGGTACCTCACACTTAGGCACGGAGGACGCGATCAGCAGCGCATCGGGTGGCGGGTCAGACAGTATGGTAGTGTACAACATGAAGGGTACCAGAGGTTGCTGTAAATTATGGAGATTGGATTTAGTATTTGATGCGACAGATAAATATATTTTGTGCGAGACCACTACACTACTAGATGTCTTAGTCTATCTGCAAATAAAGCCTAGATACGACGTGCTGATTCGGAGCGCGAGTTCGTCGTTGTTGTACAGCCCCTCTATTGGATATCTTTTGTGGAGGCCGTTGGATGACATCAGGTGGCTTCGCCACGAGCTGGCCACGCCGTCTGCACCAGATTTTGATGTTCGTGCTGCTCAATCGCCCATCCGGCAAGAAAAGCACCCGGTGTGCCGAGAACATTCAGGATAACTTGCTATGTGGAACGTCAGTCGTGGTAGGGACAGAATGACATACCGGACTTACGTTGCGGTAGATGATATAATACGAGCTGTCTCCAAATTGCGCGCCGCGGCTAGCAAGAAGGTAGAGTAGGAAATTATATTACAACGTCGAGGCCAGGCAAATGATCCCTGTGGCGACACAGTCGGGATTTTGTCAGCGCAGATAACATACATAACATACCCCAGATGGAAACTAGAAGACTCGTCGACCAGGCGAGTTTCTTCGTCTCGAAGAGAGCCTTGATATCGTCCATGGTGTAGTTATATGTCCGACTGAGAACTGTCACCTTTGCTTCATGCGAGCCATCCTTCTTCATATCGCCCAACTCTCCAGCATCCCGAAGCTGCTCCACGGTGAGGCTACAGGTTTTCCCGTTGTAAGCCGCGAGACGATGCATCATGGCTACAGCATCGGCGTCACGTCCGCGGCCCACCAGGTAACGCGGCGACTCCTCAAGAGCGAATGCAAAGAAGCGAAGTGCCCAAAGGACTAGTGTGAAGCCGCCGAGAGTGAAGAGAGGGTAACGCCAGCTCATATTCTGAGACCGGGTGCAGGTACCTGGAGCGGAGTCTTGGGGACATGAGAAGTTTGTGATTAGAGGCCAGGCGATCTGGAAGACATCAGCACACAAACGCAGATCACAGGATGCAAAACGTACCAAGTTGACGAACAGCTGGCCGAGGGACCATCGAACGGTCAGGATGGTCAGAAGATATTGATGAGAACCAGGAACAAAGTCTAGGGCCGGCGTCAGCGCGCAAGAACAACGGCAAGGATGGTGTATGCCGACCAAGGAATACCGCAGAGCCAACAGGCAGGTTGCCTCCGACACCAACACCAAGTACGGCAAGAAGAGAGGCCAGAGGGACAAAGTTTCCGGAGCCTCCTGCTACGAGGCCGATTATGCCTGCGATGAGAAGAGTGAGATTGAAGGACCATCTTCACACTCTCAGAAACTGATGTAGAATACTTGCGTGCGGCGGGACGTATCAACAGACTTTGAGTTCCCAGGACAGGCTGCTGCTTGTCACGGAGAGCCTTGCACAGGCTCGATGACCTCTTCGTGAGACAAAAAGCTGTCTGGCAGAGGACAGTTTGTATAGATTATTAATGTAGAGTTGAAGGTACACCTATCATATACGCACCTGAACATTGCATGGCCGTGTCAGAGTGACTAAGCTACGGTGGAAGGACACATGGTGAGTATACACATGGCGAGTGTATACACCAACCCATGACATTGGCCAGTCACCGCGAAGTCACTGAGTGACCGTTCGTGACATTGGATCTGGTGCCTGGAGTCTCGCCCGGCAAAGGTTTGCCGCACGCGCGTCAGCAAGCTGGCAGCTTCCTGTTGCAGTACGGGTAGGAAACGTAGAGAAGGGGGGAGGGGAGGCTTACGATGGGCACGCACGACGCGGCGAGGAAGCTCGAGATCGGGGCCGACGGCTGCCCCCAGTGTCTGTGCACCCGCTTGCGCGCGATAACGAGTCGCGGTAGGCCTAGCGCCCGTTGTACGATCCCGTCTGAAACATCACTTCAGCACTCGAAACCGCACTCCTCCAGGCTGTCCTCCAACGTCCGAGTCGCCATCAAAGTCAGTCTACAGCCAGGCTTTTCAAACCCTGGTATGCGACATTTCCAGTCGCAACGGCCGCAAGTGTGATGAGACACGCCCCGCCTCCCCAAGCTCTGTGCATCATGGTGCACCGCAGAATCATTGCCATGGCGCGCAGGTGCCTGCTGGACAGGCCTGCGATGTATATAAGCTTGCCCGACCGCCGTAGCCAAACCACACATTCCTCGCCTTCCTCGCCTCGACGACATCGATATCACAGCTCTTTGGACTCTACGTCGCTCACACGGCCATGCACTTCATCATCTCATCATTTGTGTTGGCCCTGGCTGCCACGACTGTTGTGTCGATGCCGTCCCCTGCGATCCACCCCGGATTCCAGGGACTCGCGAGCGGCCCGGTTCGTCGTGCTGGCGGGTCGCACATGTTGACCCGCCAGGCAGACAACAGCTCTCAATTCATGACCGACATGGCGTTGGCCGGTGCCATCTTGAATGCGACTGCAGTGAGTCTCCTCTTATGTCTCTGTGCGATCCGTGCGCTGACAGCCTTGACTTCCCCATAGGTCACCAACGTCTCTGCGTCCTTCACGGTTTCGCCACCTAGTGTGTCTGGCGACGGGAGCTCGGCAAGCATCTTCGGCGTAGCCACCATGGTCGGCATTGATGCGTTGTTCTGCCCGACTGGTGGCGCCGCGGCTGGTATCGAGTCCTTCATCCAAAATGGTGTACCGTCCTTTGCTGGTCAGTCCGTGCTCCTTGCCCTCCCCGTCGCATGCTGACGAGCCATCTATATTCTCCCAGCGTTTATCACGGCTTTCCCTGACAGCTCCGTCGTCATCCCGGGCTTCAACGCCTCGGCGGGCGATAACATCACAGTAAGCATCGCTGTGACGAACACGACGTCGGTCACGGTGGTCATTACAAACGAGAGCACGGGCGATATCATCACTGAGACCGCCTCTACCGGGACTCTGTGCATGGAGGAAGCAGACTGGATCATCGAGAACATCGGAGTGGGCGGGACCCTACCGCCGTTGGCCGACTTTGGCACGATCAACTTCACAGATGCGTCTGCCGCGACCTCCAGCGGCCCCCTGGACATCACTGGCGCGATAATTTTGAATATAGAGCAGAACGGCACAGTTCTTACTTCGGTCTCGGCCTTGCCCTCGGAGATCGATATTGTCTTCGTTTAATGGGGCAGAGAGGATGTCAGACTGATATTTATTTGACATTGCCTGTATGCTTGTATATCTCGCATGCTAGTTAGTTAGAAGGACCAGTATTTATTCAACGCTGCTTGTATCGCTAATGGCCTATGGCCGCCTAATGGTACAGCTCATATATATGTATCATATAGCGAAGGCTCTATCTTTATGTAACTAGGAGAAAGTGAAATATTGTCTCCGATTTTTCTCGGGTGAAAACCAGAGAAACTCAGCTACAGGCTCCTGTCCGACCAAGATTTTGCACAAGCGTGCTACCCAGTGACACAGCTGTGCAGGCCGCGCATCCGCCGGCGGTGCATCCCTGGCTTCCTCTGAACCATGCTATTTCTAGCCATACATATACTGGTGCGTATGCAAATACGTCGAACTGCACGTGAAACGAACCCGAAAGTCTGGGTGATACACAGTAGTGGAGCGAGTGCGGACGGGCCTCAGGAGACCAGCAGCCAGCCCAGCACCTTCGCGAGCGGAGAGGCGTAGTCCGGGTCGCGCTGGGCGTCGTCATCCACGTTCACGCGCGAGAAGTCCATGTCGTCGAGCGCGACCATCTTGGTCTGGTAGATGAGCTTGTAGCCGAAGGTGAGCAGCAGGAAGAAGGGCTGGGGGACGGGTTGAGACGACGTCAGACGGTGCGCGGGTTAGGGGAGGGCACAGAAAGAGAGGAGAGGAGGAAGAGGCTTACGATGGGCACGTACGACGCGAGGAAGCTCGAGATCGGGGCCGACGGCTGCTCAGACGGCGCGTAGGGATTGGGTGCCTCGTCTGGGGATGTACGCTGCGCGCAAGACGTGAACCAGACACTGAAAACACGGGCTGCAGGAAACACGAACCGATGCGCCAGCCGCTGTGCAGGAACACGGACCAGCCGTTCGTGAAGAGGATGAGCATGCAGACACCGAACGCCCACCACGCGAGCTGTACCAACGGTCTGCATAAGCATTCACGCCCTGGGCGGCAGCAGCAGGAGAGAGGGGGACGGACGTAGGGCTGGCCCCGGTGTCTGTGCACGCGGATGCGCGCGATCTGCCGGACGACGAGCCGCGCCTTCTTGATCTTGGCCGCGTCCGGGTGCTCGTCGACGTCTGCGTCCGCGAGCTCGAGGCGCTGGGCGTCGCGGTACTTGTTCTCGGCGTGCGCCGTGCCCTGGTACCACCTGACGCGCGCACTGTTAACGACGACGACGAAAAACGACGGTGGGAGCAGGGAGCAGGGAAACAGATAAAAACACGATGACACGCACCTGATGTACGTGAACATCATCCCGGCCCACGACTGCAACGACGCGATGCTCGTGACCGAGATCATCCAGTTGAACGCCTGCCCGCGCGCACCAGATCAGTCTCAAAATCTTCCAAGAGAGACAGAGGGCCACACTCCTCACCGTCTGTGCCCCCGGCCCGGTGACGTTCAGGAACGCGAGCAACCCGACCGCGGCCGAGCCCAGCACGGCGTTCAGCGGGAGCACGAACCACGGTTTTTTCTGCACGGCGTCCTCCAGGTCGTCTCCCGGCGCCGGCGGCGTGTTGAGTCCGGGCTCCGCCGCGTCCTCCTCTTCCTCCTCCCCGCCACCGCCGTCGCCATCGTCATCATTGTCATCATCATCAGACGACAGCACCTCCTCGCCAAACTGTGGTGCAGCCCCGTCCATCGTGGCGCCGCGCGGGTAGCGCACGAGGGACGCAAAGAGCTGGGGCGCGTGTCCGCGGCGGGCGAGGAAGAAGAGGAAGCGGCTGCTGATGTAGATGTCGGACGCCGCGGCGGACCAGGCGGAGAGCAGGACGGCGGCGTTGATGACGTGCGAGATCTGCGTGTCTTTTCAGCTCGAAAGATGATTCTGCGGAGACATGGTGCGCGTGAGAGGGGGGAGGAGAAGGGCGCGAGACGCACCCAGTACATGCCCGCGTGCTGGAACGCGATCACGAACGGCGAGGCCTTGACGGTGCCCGCGTTGGCGCCGCTCGTCAGGTCCGGGTCGTTCCTGTCGACGAGCAGGCCGGCGCAGAAGATCCCGCCAATGTAGAACAGCGATCTGCGCGCGCCTTTCGTGTCAGTTTTTTTTTCTTTGACGGTCGCCCGCACGAGAAGAAGAAAGAGATGGGCGCACATCCGGATCCACACGCGCTGCAACGCCCTAGGAACATTCTGCAACGTTTGTTTTTCCGAGGTCAGCGTCCGGTCTGAACGGCCACGCAGATCGAAGACTACGCACCCGAGTGGCATCGATGACCTCGCCCGCCGCCTGTTACAAAGCCCGCGTACAGATCAGACTGTGTCTGCAAGGACAGGCGCGTCGCTCACGATTCCTGGGACCTCGGACCCGAAAAACGAGAAGGCGGCCTGCATCAGGACGGCCCAGAAGCCGAGGAAGCGACCGAGGGCACCGGTGACCCCGAGGTAGCTGTCGGTGAACGGGTGCTTCCATGTGTCGAAAAACCTGAAACTGGGAGCGGAACGCCTTTTGTTAGTTCTGACATGTTTTTGCGTTGCGGCAAGAGTTAGTGGTGACACGCACTCTGAGCTTCCGGCGCCGAGAGTGATGACCAGGGTGAGCACGACTGGGCCGGCACGGTGAGCTGGGGACTGCTGGCGGGTCGGGGAGAGTGGCTTACTGATGCAGACGATGGTGAGCACCTTGATGGCTGAGAAATGGTACTCGAACGAGCCGTAGACTTGGGAAGGGAAGCAGTTGATGATGGTCGCCAGCGCGAGCTGGTTGTGCATGTATCACAAGGCCATATTTTTCTGCAGATCGACGAAGAACTCACGAAGACGGCCGTCAATCCTGCGACCCTTGGAACAAACGAGTCGGCAGAGTCTTCCAGATCAGTATGTCATGTACTTACGGAATTTTGCCCGAGTTCCAGTATCCGGCGACGACCACTGCCGCGGTCACCTCAGCAGCTTGACGCAGCTATCAGCGGTGCAGCCTGCCTAGAGCTACGATAACAACATACGCAGTGTCACACTCCAGTTATACTGAGAAAATATTACTTAAAAGTCAACTAATCGCTCGAACCGGTCACTTACCCATGCGGCCCACCCCAGAGAGAACCCGAGCGCTCGGTCCACATGCAGGTCTGTCAGTCCTACGACGCCGCCTACGTTTGGCCTGGCAAGCCACAGGTTAGCGGTGATCAAATATCTGTTACGAGCCTGGAACAGCTCACAGAAAGGCGATCATCTCTCCGATGGAGACGCAGAGGCAGTACACGACAGAGCCCATGATGAGGTACCCGAGCAGGGCCCCTACGGGTCCCCCGTTGTGCAGCGCAGCCTACAACGTGTCAGCGATAGCGCAAAGAATGCAGGCGAGTCGCACAGGTGACTCACTCCGGATCCTAAGAAAAGCCCGTTCCAATGACACCGCCTAGCGGGCATTCAGCATGGACGGGACGCCAGGCACAGGAACCCACCGTACCGATAGAGATCATGCCGACTGTAGGCAGAGGACGGTCAATAATTGTGCGTCAAACGCGCAGTCTCGACTCACTGTGCGAGCGCGTGAGCTGAGGCGGGAGGTCATCTTTGATCCTCTCCCAACGTTTCTGGAACTCTTGGATGCGCCGCTTCTGCCCTGTCACGCGGGCGTTCGGCACATCGTCTCCAGCGTCGCGCTCTACAAACCGCAGGACATGGCGACGGCGGAGGGAGTGTAGGCTCGGCCTGAGGCCCGCCGGGCGGGGGGCGTTCGCGGCGGCGTCTGCAGCGGGCGGGACGGCCTGGTTTGGATAACGGAGCGAGGGAACTCTGGACTCCACGCCTGGGTGCTGGGCCGGAAATGCGTATGTGTTGTGGGGCCGGACACGTACAGCGAGTTTAAGTGCGGACCTGCTCTGCGGGCCACAGGCTGCCGCCCAGTGGGCCCTTGACAGAAGTCTATCTTGGACCGACCCTGGGCTGCACAGCTTGGGCGCGCTCCGGCCCGCCTTCGGGTATCGAGGATCACGGCCGTGGGCTATGTAGCTCCGCGAGCGCATTGAGCCGAATGTGGCCTAGCCGACCTGCGCATGGATGGATATCCTAGGACAGCCACGAACTGTCGCCAAGCGTCCGTCCTGAAGATAGTCTGATACGGCAAGTCGTCCTCGGGTGGAGTCGGGGATTTAAAATGTGCTGTGTTTGAATTTGATGTAGGGCCCGCTGGGCACTACACCGCCGTCGTGTACGTAACTGACGGTTTACAATCAGAATGATCGAACAAACGCCTGACTGGTCTGATGCTACTCGGCGGACAGCCAGGAGTACAGGCGCGAATTCAATTTGCTAACCGTTAAGTCTCTATTTGTGCCTGACAGGCTAGCCGTTCGCCTAACAGATTCCTGAGCGTGAGGAAACGAGCTCTTCCAACTTGCAACCGTAGCTACGAGCCTA